TCTTCAAGCAATTCATTTTAACAAGAAAAGTACTTCCCATAGGCCACAATGAATATTTGTTAATAGAAACATTTAGGAAGCAAGTTCAGGTCCAACTTTTTTTAAACCCAAACAGAATCCTGTTGTCAGGAAGATTAAAACCTTCTACTTTCAAAGTGGGCTAATTACTTACAGACATTATTGTGCGTAAGACAAAATCAAAATCTTCTGAAGAGTGGAATCACAGTTTCACCATAACCTTTTCTGCAAATTATGAAGTGTGAAATAGAACACTGAATAAAAATTAAAATAAAAAAACTTTGAGAACAACATGTCAAAATTTAAACAGTGAAAATAAGAAAATAAACTCCTCAGCTGTCATCTGATGGTCTGATGCTTCTATACACTACTCTGATGTGGCAGTATCTTTTAATTTCCATCCTAAGCCAATAAAATCCTGGAAAAAGCCCAGAATATACTGCTCATAAAACTAAACAACAATAAAATATGAAGTCAGTTTGAATAATGGTTATGTTTTGATTTTTTAAGATTTACTTCATATATGCGCTTGAGAAATTACTATATGAAATCACCACTGAAAACTTCATAGAACAACAAAAAAAGGAAAATAGTTTCAATTTTTCCCCCTTATCAGAAGTACACTTGATCAGAAGTACAACACAAGTACAGTTTCTCATATTGCTTTTTTTCCTACTTCATTCTACCTTATACATGGTACTTGTGGTTTTTTGTTTGTTTGTTTTTTCAATAAATGATATGCACACATGGTATTGTGTGGTATTCAAACTTTCAATCACTACAGTAAAAACCACCAATGTGATAAAGGAAAAAAATGAAGCAGCATTAATCATCACTAGTATGTCTAGTGTAGCACTTGTTGATAGATATTGAACCCGAATATCGTTTCTCTGTGAAGCATTGCACAACGCATTCCTATGCGACTTGAATCCTCAAACTGGGTGCTGGAGACCAGCTGTCTTCCAAAGGGAAGGTCTCCAGGAAGAGATGAAGTAAGGAAAGGGAAAGAGTATGGCATTACTCAATTCAACAGCAGGACTCTCGAGGTTCAACCAACCAAAGTACCCCTGTTCCGCATATCACCAGGTATAGCTGGGCTATTGATACAGAACTGTTGCTGTATGTTCAGAAAGATTTGCTTTACATAGGCTTTATCTACAAAGAGCTACCAAATCACAGTGTTTAATACTACATGCAAAACATGCACAGATTACCACATGTACCACATAGTAGAATCTTGAAACATTTCCCTTGTTTTGTAGAAGGTTGAGATTGCTTTCTTTTATTCCTGTTCATTCTTGCCTTACTGCTCAACTCACAGTCACTACTGGTAAAATAAAAGCATTCTTTGATCATCTTTTTTTTGGTCTGACTATTTTAATGAAATGGTTTCACTCCTGAACACTCTCCTTCTCCTCCTAGACATGTTTTTGTTTTTTTCTTCCTGACAAACAAATGCAAAGCAGAAACATTTCAACTGTTTGATATTATATCAGAGTTGAAGTCTCACAGTAAACATTTTATGTTATGTCCCATTCTATCAGCGGTACCATCCATTATGTCTAACAATGGTGCTAATACAAAAACCGCCAAAGTAACAACCTTCTAGAAAAATAAAGTCACCTATGCTGATGGAAGTATCCACTATTACAGATGTTTACTCTTGTACAACAGTATAATTAATCTGATTTAAATTTATATCAAATGAAGTCCTCCTTGCAGATTTTTTTTGGTCTAATAGTTCAGCACTCACCTATTACTGAAATGTACTCTCAGCTCACATGCTACTTTCCTATTCACCTTTCTCCTACTTGGGATTATGTCTCCTACTTTGGGATTATGTCCATTACACTAGAGGAACTCTCTAGTATATCCCCTACACACTGAATCTGTGGGTGTTCAGAAATAACTCTCTCCACAAAGCTAGCACACAACATCAGAGGAGACCTAATTGACAGTTTACATTTGGATGTATTGTAAAAACATTAATTTACTTAAATCTCACAACACAACAAATCATGCTGTATAATAATTTGATCACAGATTTGCTCTTAACTATTCACATCACTATGTCTAAAGGAGATCAGCAGATAGAGATTGCAGTAACAGTTGCAAGATCCATTAAGAATTTTGAGCCTAATCAGACTTGTGAAAAATAGAAGTGTTCCTTCTCAAACTGGATCTTCAATAACCTGTTTTGCTACAAATGATGTTAGTGTACCATGTAAAAGAGTGAATTTTAATGAGTGTACATTATTTCAATTTGTCCATAAGTATTTTGAACAAGCTGATATTTTGGGGTTCACACAATTCTAATCTATGATCAAATGAAATCATACTGAATCTAGAAATGCAGAAAATCATCAAAAGCTTTGTGAATAGATTGGTATTGGCACAACATCATATTGTCAGAGCAATTTTTAGAGATTAAGCTAGGCTACTTGGAGATGAACAAAAAATGACAAAATCTATATAATACTGCAAGAAAAGTGAAAGGTTTTGTTGCTTTGTTTTTACCCAATATTATCTCAATATTAAAAAAAAAAAAAAAAAAAAGAACACCTTTTGGAGTTCAACTACTGTTTTGTAACAGAATAGTACAACCATACCATGGGAAAAAAGCTTCAAAAGTACTTTAAATATATTCAATGAAGTGCATGCATCATGAGTTCCTTCTAATATTGCTAGGCATAAATGGATAAAACCTCGTACCAAGAAAGGTTCCGTTTTATGCCAGTATCCTGCAGATGTGAAACAACATCAGAAAGTGAATTTCTCTTGAAATACAAATTCTTGTTACTTCCTCTTCAAGATGAATACCTAGCAGGTTATTGATCTGCCTCTGAAGGACACAGCTTTTATTATGTAGGAAACCGCTGCTGGGCACAAGCGTGAGAAATTAATGATGGTTTTGTAAGTGTCCACACCGTGGTGCTGAACCAGTGGGGCAACTGTCAATCTATATGATAATATATCCCAAAACTTCATAAAGTCAGTGATGTGAAAAAACATTGATTTTTGAGCTAACCAGGAGAGCAAGACTAAAAAGTTTACTGAAGTTAACACCTCTGTGTATATGATAGTTGTTCCATACTAGCATGATTTTTTTAAACAATCAGACATAAATGGTTATCATAAGAACCTTGCCAAGTAAAAATGAATTCCACACACTAGTTTGTTTCTTGCATGCTCTTTTATCATGTCCTCCTTTCTTTTATTAACATCATTGTTAGAAAGATTACCTGTTCAAAATGGATTCACTGCACTGTATTTCAAATTACTCAGTAATTCATTTACTCTTTGGAAATTTTTGTCAGGAAGAAAAAACGAAATGCAAGCAAACAGACTCATTCTTTCATCAACATCTGCAACACTATGCAACTAGGTCCTGAGATTAAAATTTCTCAGACAAAAGGTGTGGCATGGTGCTTCCACAGAAGTAGAGACAAACTGCCAATCATCTACAGATACGTGAATTCATGCTGTAGAAATAAATTCTAATTGTTCCATAATGCCAGAATTTAATTAGTCAGTTTTTTATTTTATTTGACATAATGCACAGTGGCCTTATCAAAACTATACTGAAGTCAATGGAAATCATCCTATTTTCTGTGAATGGCACTAATTAATTAACCAGTCAGGTTTTTTTTCAAAATACTGGCTTCCTTGTATCCACTCATGCTAGTAAAAATACGTTTCCTCTTTGGTTTTGATGAGGAAATATATCCTGCTATGCCTACAGAGAGAAGATATTACTTGAAGATTCTATTTAAATCAGAAAAAAAAAATGTTCTTTCAAACAAAATCAATTGCACTTCTCTGAACTATTTTCAATCAATACAGAAAATGTAACTCAGTTTTCCCTTGTTTGCTTTAACAAGCAGTTGCTTGCACTTCCAGTGCCCATCACAGCCCTGCTTTGCTGAAACTGAGACAACTCACTGAACATGGGGAGGAGCCTAAAATAAACATGAAAATATCCTCCTCTAAGCAGAGCAATAGTGTGCAACAAATTAAATTTTGTCTTAAGTAATATATGCAGCTGAAAGCTGGTTACACTGGGTAGTATTACCTGCCTGAATAGTTGCTCCAGGGATACAGGGTTAGGGAGATGCCCCGTCACCTTCTCAAAATGGCAAACAACAAACCCTTGAGTTATTAAGCTAAGCTTGCACCTTCATTAGGAGGGAGGACCTTCCCAGGATGCAGAACAAATGGTGGCAAATCCATTCTTAACATTTTTTCCTCTCTAATTTAGTTTAAAAAGATGCGGGCAGAGAAAATTTGCCTAGTAAAAACTTTTAGTAGATTGATATGAAGAACATTAATCAGGACTGTATGCATTTGAAAGGTCAGCTGTCTGCATGGAATTTTTCATCAACCACTGGCTAGGTTTTTTGTCACCAATGACTCTTGCATAGTGTAAAGTTTCTTTCTTATGAACTTAATAACCTATGCTAAATATAAGTACTTTGCCTCAGTATGATGCATAGGTTTGCTTTCTAAAAGCCCTTCATACTTATCAGTAAGCAAATAACAAATAAATTAAAAAAAATCAAAACCTCATAAAAAAAAACAAAACACACAGAATAAATGTGATTGTTACAAATTAGCACCATTGTTACAGCTACTAGCATATTATAGATTAATATTACTTCAAGCTTTCTATAAAAACATGAGAAACTTTTAAAGCAATTTCTTCCTGTTTCTCATCATTAAGTTTAATTTAATGTACTTGGAGCACAAACTTCTGTGAAAGATAATTGCCTGAACAGTAAATTGTATGATAAAGCAATATATATATCAGATTATGTAATATACATGTAAAAAGAGTTTCCTGATATCAATGTCAAAAAAAAAAAAAAAAAGAAACAAAAGAAACAAAAGTGAAATAACCATCTTTAACGGAACACTCAACTATTTTTCAGTATGATTACATTCTTATGTATGCGCATTAAGAATATATTGAACAAAAGGCCTACCGTTTTCCTCATCTGACTTATTTTCGTTGTCGGAGTCGGTAAGTGTGAGAGCCGAGTTTTCGCGACTTGACAGACCGGAACTTCGCCTGGATTTGATCCCTCTTCCCCACAGCCTGATCGCATGCTCTGGAGACATTCCTCCCTCTGTGTCCGAGTCAGCATCAGAGCCAGTGCTCAAGGAATAGCCTTGGTGGAGTATTCCTATGTCCGAGCAGTAGCCACTTCGATGGGGAGAGGGCTCACAGATTCCTAGCTCTGCAAGGGTGAAGTTTGTTCCTAGAAAGGCAATTACAGAAAACTAAATAATTTAAAATAATTTAAAATCTTGGGGATCTGATAAGTTTCAGAATAACAGAACTTTTTAATTTTTCTTAATTATGATGTGTGCTAAGCCTTTGTAATGAATTGCATAGAGAGATCTCTGGTGCAAAGATCTAGCAAGACTTACCGAAAACACACTGAATATACTTGAAATGGATGAAAAACACAAAACAAGGGTAAATTTTAAGTTACTTATGCCTACTATTTTGACCCCAAATAATTTATCGCTTACATATACAAAGTTCATGACAAGTGACAGTAACATGACTTGCTTTATGTTACATATCTAACCTTGTATTTGCAGAACCAGAGCCTTAGCTTTGAGGATTAGCATTTGACTATTCAGAGAGAATCTCTGTTTCTCATGCAAGACATGAGCCTTTCAGAGAGATAGGAATCTTTAGTTCTAACTTTCCTATGGTTTTCTATTTCATAGAAAATGAGTACACATTTGGGAAAAGAGTTCACAGAGCCAAGGATCACTTGAAAGAATGCAAATCTATCAGTGATGAAACAGAAATCTTGTCACCAGTTTTGCATTTTCATACTGTGTGAGATTGGTAGTTTAAATATCTACTATAGAAATTAAAACATATCTCAATTATTGTAATTGTTTTCTACCTTTATTCATCGTACTTAATAAGAAAGCATACATTAACACCAAAATCAAGAGGTCACTGGGTTTATAGGCAAAACTTTCAGGATCAAAATCAGAACAAGACATTTAGCACTTAATAACAACACAGTGGACAGTCATATGTATTTTGAAGGCACATGGAGTCCCCCAGGGTTGTCAGAAAGTACAGACTTGCTGGTTGATTTCTGCTTATGTATTTGCTTCCTACGTGAATGAACAGGACTGTAAAGAACTGCATGTGGAAATATGCTCTGTCTCTAAGGCTTTCTAGGTTTTTGAAAAGCATAGTGATTTCGGCTTCATTACAATGGGCTGCAAATGAAAAATCAGGACAGAATGAAGTGACTTGCAGTATAGCATACAATAATTTAATTCACAGTGAAACTACATCTGTAGTCTGAGTTTCTACAATGGTATTTTTATTTTGTCCAAAAGTAGTTTATATTTTCCCCTCTTCCCCTATATGTTCACCAGAATGATGCTGTATAATGAAAGTTCATACACTAAGTAAAAAACATACCGAAGTGTCTTCCATTGATAAAGACATATAATCAATTTGGTTATTTACTGAAGTATCACAATTTCTTTCTCAGTTGAGCCAGGACTGGTTCACCTCTTTATGTCAGCCCTCTCTGGTCTCATATCCAGCTGTTGAAGTGCTTTGGATACAGGACACTTTCATAGATCTACAGAAAGTAAAACTAACTGAATCACAGTAACTGAATCACTAGGCCCTGCTTTACTTTTTTAGTTATAGCTCATCAGTTAGGGAAGGTGATGGGTTTCTTCTCCTGGAAACCTGAGCTATGTCTTCATCCAGTGATGGATAGACAGGAACACCGAGCACAAGGAGAGGGAAGGCATGCTTTCCTTCACCCCTGGGTTACCCAGTACATGGGCCAGCAGCAACACAGTGGCCAAAAATTAACACTGACTGGATGCTTCTAGCAAAACAAAGCATTCATTCGCAATATATAAAAATAGTACAAAAAGGATGTCATTAAAAAAAATGTCAGCTCTTATCAACACCCAATTATACCAAACACTCTTAGTCAGGAGTACATTTTAACTTGCTTTCCAATTTATAATCCAGTAATCATAAATTCAGTGGTTTATTCATCAGGAATGAACTGAACAGTCCTAAGTATGAGCCTAAGTGCACATCAGTCCAGAGTTTTTTTTTGTTGTTTAAAAGAACCCTGCCATGAAATTTGGAAGAAATAATTATTTTTAAAAGAAAGTGTGAAACTTCATCAGGTGCAATTTCAGTAGAACATATTTAACCAAAATAGCTAATGAGAATCTTGGTTTTGCCATATTAGCAAGCCAAAGTTAGTCAAAAAAAAAAAAAAGTCACTATCAACCCAAAATATAAAATATTTATAGAAAAGAATGTGAACTGCAACCTACTAGCACTATACTTTCATGCCCACACAGGTAAAGTGCATGCTGACATTAGACACACATCATGAAAGTGAAGCTTTTAAAGTTTTCTTGTGGCATAAATATCTACAAATACACATCAGTTATGAATATATTAGCTTAATTAAGCTGTTTTACATACTCAGTAAAACAATTTAATGATATTCTGTAGAATTTAACAGCCATTAGAAGCCCAGAAAATTTCACTCTGATTAGCATTCTGTATTGGCATAAAAAATCTAACTGTAACATCTGATGCAAAAAGTAATCTTTAGAGAAATTCTAACTTCATTTGTCTGAGGAAAATGGTAAAGGCACTGCAAGTGGAAGGTAAATGCAGTAGTCATGGAACTCGTCCATCCATTAGAGCTTTGTTACGTGAGAATCTAACAGCTTCCAGAAACATTGATACAAAAAGTTGAAAACTGACCAACTTTAAATGTAACAGAACTGGATGGGATCAACTCAAGAACAGGAATGGAACCAACCTACTTACTGAGCCTCTGGAGAAGGATATTCCATGCTGCTTCTCAGAAATCTCCTCACAGTCTTACAAAAGAGTATCTCAAGCATACCTACTGTAGACATAAAGTATCCCAGAGAGTCCCCACTCCAGCGAAAAATATTCTTCTCACATGGACTCTGTATTTATACCTATCTATACCTGTGTGTTTGTATATATATATATATATATATATATATATAAAAATACATGTATATACAAATAAATATAAATATATACATGTATATATAAATATATACATACATACAGGTATAGATAGGTATAAATACAGATACATATATATATACACACACCTTCACTTTCATTCATTTTACTTGAAAATCTGATGAAAATGTTAGAGAAGCATTACAATTATGTTCTCTACACCTTTTCTTGATCTGGATTGTGTTCTCCTATGTGTCTAATTTCCCTAAAACCGTTCATATCTCTTGAATAACATATGGACTGCTTTCACTTTGATAATATTTTCTTGCTTGCTCAGCCACAATTGCACATTAAGGGATTCATGGCATTAGTAGACCACTGCTGTAAATTCAGATGGAGGATAAGTTTGGCTCTGGAGGCGCTGATATCATTTCATAGCAGAAAGAATCCTACTATTGCTTTGGAATAAAATATCTTCACACCAACAATGAGAAAATACCAAATCCCTTCCATACTTTCATGCCCAGTGGTGCTGACTGAATACTTCCTGCTGGGATCCTGCTGGCAGCAGGGTCACCACGAACAAGGGCAGCCTTCCTCTCCCCAGTTCCAGTACAAACCACAGCCCCTGGATGCTGGCGCGAGGAAACTCAAACCAAGCCTGACCCAGGGATCCAGTGTCTCCCTCTACAAGCATCTTCCTCATGACTCCACAAGAAATTAGGAGACCAAGCAAATCAAGACCTCAAAGAACAAAACCCAGGCATTCACAGAGGGAATGTTGTGCATTCACAAAGGGAAACCCAAACCATGAGCTGAAGTGCACTACTAGCAGCCAAAGCAGATAGATGGTTTCTTAGTGTTATATACCGCATGCTGTCTCTGGGGCTTGTGAGTAACTCTTGGGAGCTGAGAGCTTAATTTGTGAAGCAGGGCTGAGACATGAAGCTGGGATCCATTCTTGCACATTGTGAACCTAAAGGTGTTTTCTTTCAAATTCTTGTAGCATCTACTACATCGCTGGTGGCACTAAGTGAAAAGAGCTAAATAACATCTGATCCTTATTGGTTGAAAAGAAAGAAATCTTTCCCTTGAAGACAACACCACCAAAAAAAAAGTTTTTTAAAAAAGTGGGGTTTTTTTTTGCCTTTTTGTATGTAACAGAGCTTACTAGCTTCCATCCCCATTCCCTTCATCCCCACCTGCAAAAATCACTAGACCGTATCCCTTAAAGAAAGGCAGTTAATACCATCTGCTCCCTTAAGGCATACGTAATCTCTGATGCAAAAATAGATTGGTAGTGTACAGGTTTAGAAGTGTAATATAATGTTGTATACTTCATCATCATGCCCATAATCTACATGCTGCGAGTAGTCTCTCAATAGAATAGAAAAGCTTTGTTTTCCTTTCAATTTATGTATGACTAGTATATCTTTCAAGCTCATTTTCTTTTACAACAATTTACTACATAAGTTATTTAGTATACAAATACTCAATAGAAGTGTGATTAATTCAATGACGTACAATTCTACTTATTCCAGCTAAGACTAAAAAGCATTACCATAAAAGCAAAGGTTATTTTCACCTGACCTCTAGGCAGAGGTCTCATTTGGTTAATTACAAATTATAGGAATTGCCCTTCTAAAGATTAATCTAATCCAGCTGTGATCAGTACAAGATGCCTCAGGGGAAGATATCTGAAACCCGTAATGCAAAGATATGACAAATTCTCCTTCAACACTAGATCAGCAGTTCAAAACTAGGTTAAGTCTAAAATCAAAAGGATAAATATCACTGACATTCTTTGCTACGAAAATCAATTTACAAGAAGATCAGATTTTTGTTTTGTTTTGCTTTTTGCATTTAAGATATTTCATCCTTTGTCAATTTTTTGGCTATCTTAACAGCTACAATGATTTTTGCTGGCATGAGTACCACACTTGAATGCCAATCTGTGGTATATGAAGAGGTCATTCTTTTTAATAAACTCTGATGTTCGCTTCTTAATTTTTTCTCAATTCCGTACACATTCATTCATTATAATGACAGGGAGAACAGATGATTACAAGCTCATTTTTTTATCCACTTATCATATATATTTTTAACATTTACCCTTTTACAGATCTTCCTTATAAGATAAACAACTGCCTTCTTTTTAGTCCTTCCTTGTAATTCACCCATTTCAGTAGCATACTTTTCTCACAATTACAGATCTATCATTATAAGATA